GTATCATTTAAATACCGGCGATCCCGCGGACCGTTTTGGAATGCCTTTGGACTTTCAAACGAGACGTCCGCCCGGTGCCAACTATTTCTACTTGGTATCAGCGATATAACGAGGGATCCCGGCGTACGTAACCGATAAATTTTCAGAATCTACTCCGGAGGTTCAACTTCAAGAGATCACTCGTATAACCATCTCGATGTTACTGCCTCGAAACCGGTCCGGTCATTTCATTCCTCGCGAGTAGTCAGTCCATTTAGTTCGCCGGGCAATTCCACGGTTTACGATCGGAGGAAATGACGCGCTACGAGTAACCGAGCGGTCCGAATTTAACCCTTCAGGGACGACGACGCAGGACACTCACTCTGATTCCCTTCGGCGCCTTTATTGCTTTCGTTGGGATTTAATTGCCGCTGTTCCTACTTTCTGGAATTAAGGATAGCCGCGGAGAACACTATAACGTATAATTTATCAAGAAATTCTGGTGACATGTACGAAGAAGAAGCAAGAACTCGAAAGAATTGATAGAAAAATTGATATAATCAAGATTCAACGAAGATCTTCACGATCGCCTCTTGATCTTTCAGAGAATCATTGTTAAATCTATAAGAGGAATTATCAGGGTGTTAATTCAACTAGTCGATAATACCTCGTCGCGAAGCTGGCGCCCGAAAGCGATCGCTTTCGCGTTTCCGAAGGCATTCGCTAGCCAGTGCTAGACGAGGGAAGGGATTCGAAAAATAGCTCCGTCATAACCGGCGTCATCGTCATCGTCGCGTGAGTCACTGAACGCCAAGTACACGCCCTCGTTCATCTCCTCGCCGTGGAAACCTCGTCATCCCGCGTGTCGATCTATAGATCTCCCTCGTCGGCGAGGGAACGCCGCGTAGAGCGGAACGATCGAACGGCGCGGAATGAAAGAGATCTTTGATCGCGGAACCGTATCGCGAGAGATAACAGCGTCGCAGAATCGAGGGATTTATGCAAATGCCCGTGCAAACAACTCCTCGCTTGGGAAATCCGAGCGTGACGTAACGGCGGTCCGACGGAACTTCGAGGCAGATAAGGCGAACCGATTTCCTGCACGGTGGGACTGCCGGATCTCGGAATCTGGGACCGGTGATCCCGCGTGTCTTCCAGCTGGACTGACTCATCCGTCGTCTCGCAACCCAGATCCGATTTTATCTCCGCGCCGGAACCGTGTCGACTCGCTTCTTCGGGCCGTGCCGACGGTGGAAAAACATTTTCCTCGCTGCGAGGAAATTGTTTAGACGTTTTGGCAGATACGCGCGGAGACGCGAGGAGAATTCTTAATTTGTTAAATGCGGAGTTATGGTAGGTTGGTCAGTTATTTGGCAGATTTCTGAGTTGTTTTTAATGTGGAGTTGTAATAGTTTTATTTCGGAGATTCTTGAGTTGTGAAATATAAAGTTGTATGTCTCGCATAGAGTCGCAATGGTTTTATTTGGCGGATTTTTGATTTGTGAAATATCGGGTTATAATTGATAGTTTTATTAAGACAAATCTTTCATTCGTCAGTTTGATTCATTCTTTTCTTCGCTTTGAGTTTTACCTTCGTATTATCTTGTGTGCATATCAAATCTAGTGCAATCTTATGTCATATACTACGAGAGAACACTGTTCAAGCTGTTATAGATCAAAATAGTTTTTTGTGCAGCCTTAAGCAAAATTACCAATCAAGCATAAATCAACAATTACTTTTTTTTCTGATCGAAACACGGATCGCAGGAGATAAATTCTCATTGCTATTCCGACGAGCCCTGATTCGATTTCCTCGTGAACGGTTTCCGGTCAGTCAAGCTTTTCCATATGCGTGAATAATTATTCTTCGGTTTAAAACTGTATTTTCAATTAAATCGTTGATCGCAGCGTATTACAAAGTTTAAAGACCAAACTCATTAGAAGTAAATAACCCTAATCACGATGAGAACATCGAGCGCGATTGCTGAATATAACATTCGCATTTAATATCGTGAATTTCTTAGAAACTCGATCGAACTTTCGCTCGAACAGTTAAAAACGAACGAACTCGAAATCTATAGTTCACGAATACGAAATAGTAGCGCTGCTAAAAGAAGTATTAAAACGTTCTCCTGTTTTCAACACGATTCGATGCATAAATTATATGACACTTCACGTGACAAAACACAACTCCGAAATTACTAACAATAGAACCACCAGTTGATTCAAAATGATCCATTCTCGATCTCTTTGCAATTACTGAAATCCTACAAATGCTTCTTTCAAGAATCATTAAAAAACTAATCCAGTAACACCGAAACTTCAATACAAATCAATTAAAATCTAAATAAACACACGTTCATAGTTTCCACAAAGGACTATTAAACGCTGGATTTACGGAACCCGTCAATTTAACGGATATTGAACTTTTCAAACACTATTTAGTAACAATTTAAGTCAATTTTGATTCGCTCAATTATACGAATACGCAATATTCCAGTTCCGAAGCTAAAATTCTCACGATTCCCATAGACGAACACGTAATTTCCTAGGAACAATAGAACAAACTCTACAATAAACCTCCGTAAATCCAGTGTTAACAATAGAACTACCGTACCAGTCAAAATAACTAGTCTCAATTTTCTTGTTCAGCAATTATTGATATCTTCGAAGCATTGAATATTCGAAATGATTTTGAAAATAAATAGTTTCGCTAGATTGCTACAATGAATGCCTGAAAGAACTGAAAATAATCTATTGTTACAATTTTTACAGGAATTGCGTATTAATCGTATTAAATGCTCGGTAGTTCTACTGTTAAAAAATCAGTTCAAGTGCGTAGCGGTTCCACTGTTAATCGCCCGTGGGATTCCTCGAGATATCACGATCTGATAGGAAGATCGTGTTATGGGGTCGGAAAGCGAGCAGAATGGCGGACGAGGGAAGAGTTAAAAGCAAAAGAGAGCGCGCGATGTCAACGGCAACGCGAGGATTCCGTGGAAATAGCAAACACGGCTCGGAGCCGGCGACTTTAAGACCAGAGCTCGCGAGCAAACAAGTTTTTTCGCAAATCATTGACTGCACATGTGCAATTTGCTCGTATCTAGCGGTGCGCCGTGACAATGACTATCGTAGGCAAGGCCGGCCGATTGAAGTCGAGAGATAGAAACGGCTCGCAACGGGAACGAATGGGGGTTAACGGTGACGGGAGGAGGCGTGCCGGCAAGGCCGCGACACTGATACACCGAGAAAAAGTTCTTTCTCGTGGATCGAATTTTATTCTGGCCACGGCCACCTTCGCATTCTCCTTGTCAAGAAATCTCGATCCACCAATCCGGCTTATTTTTGCGGGTCAACGTGAAAGTGTAACCGCGAAACAATCCCGCCGCGACTCCATTTTTGCTGTTTTCCTCTTTCCCTCTCTCTCGCTCTCTCGCGCGCTTCCTTCTGCGTACAGTTGTGTTATTTGTTTCCACGGCGGTTTTTTCGGAGATTCTTCGGAACAGTGGGAAGAATTCCAGTTTACGGAGACTTTTCGTCGATTTCTGTATACGGCGTTCGGCAAAGCGATTTAACGTCGAGTCACCTCGCCGCGGTGGAAATGCTTCCAGCAAACATGCTGCGAGTAAACGGGTTAAGTTAGCGAGTTTAGTTTCGCAGCGAGAGATTAGAGGTCGGACGCTCGAGGCTCCGTGTAATTGGAATCGGTGTAAGTGTAGCTGAATGGAAATGGCGAGGATCGTGAGACAATAGGCCGCGCGTTGCCTTCGATTCCCATTATCTCCGTGACTGTGGACATTGCGAGCGAGCAAATATTTTTGAAACGGTCGTGCAAATATTGACCGAATTTTGACTAACTCCGGAGACTGCTGCGCATATGCATAGAACAGCCGTGGTCCGTCGAACTTCGAGAAACTTGTCGGTCGGTGTCGTCGAGTGTTTGACCGGAACAACGAACAACGTATCGCGAAGAAAGTTCCCCGTTTGCTGAAGAGAGAGAGAGAGGCTTTCTCAAATAAATTCTATTAAAAGAAACGCCGGAGGCAAGACACGAGATAACGCAAATTTATCTAGGCTTTAAGAAACTCGATAAGGTTCGAAAGTAAGGACCCTGATAAACGTGACTTTTTATGGAGTCTGATCTTGTCGTGAACGAGACCCGTGTTTGTGTTTATCTAAGCATTGGCGTGGGAGTGAGCGAGTCGGCGAGGACCGGTACAACGCGCAGGCTGCCCTAACATCAAAACAGATATTTCAATGAAGTTCACTTGAAATTCACTTTCAACGCGATTCGATTACCAATGAGAAACAATATCAAAGAAGATACTCCAATTCTCAGGGAACCCGATCGAACATCGAATGTACACAGTAAACAAATCGTTTAAACTAAATGTAAATTATATAAATCTATTACCTGTCGATTATCAACACTAAATCAATCCCCACGAGTCTAACCACTGAGTAAATCAGTTCCTCGGCAACTAAAGCACACTTTACTCAACGCGATTCCGAGTACCCAGCGGAAACCACAAGGAAAACATCAACGGAGCATCGGCGAGACGCGAATCTCGCGAACCGTGTCCAAAAGCGTTCCGCGAGTCGCGGCCACGCGACGCAGCTATCAGACGAAAATATTTGTTCGCGCGGGAGATAGAGTCGGTCGATCGTGCTTGCACTCGAAGCGTCTTTGTCCAACGGACTACCGTGGATCTTATCGATGATCCGCGGAGCTGGCTCGATAAACGGCTCTTGTTTTGCGCGCGACGCTAGCGCAGTGTTTACGAGTCGGCGAGGTTAACGCGGCCAGGAAGAACGGAATGATCGCCGTTTGACAGCCGAGGACCGCCTAATGGGCTAATCTGCGGGGCCATAAATTCTAGTTAAGTTCTTCCTGCACGGGCGTTGGGTCCAAAGTATTGTTACATAAAAATAGAACCGTCCCGTTCCGCTCGCCTAGAGCGGAGACCCGCGCGAAAGCGGGTTGGCCCTCGCGGTCGCGATTAGACAAACAGTCTACTCACTTCATCTCGCGAAGACCAAGCTGACCGAGCGTCCCCCGTCGTCGTCCCTCGTCCTGCCGGTTATTCTCGCCCAAGGCAGGCCATCGGAGGCTCAAGAATGTGTGGCAACGAGCAGTCACACCTACAGACTGAATCGGCCGCCGCGCAGGAACATCGCAGTCAGCCGGGTTTATCAATGAAACGTTGAGTCCCTGTGCACCGGTCTTCCAGGGAACTCCATGCGCCGTTGGTTTCCAGGATTCGATGACATTTATCTAATCGACCGGACAATTGGAACAGTTCTGCGATCGTCGTTTCTGTCACTGAATCCGATTCTTTCTCAGCCGATTCAGTCCGCTGGGGATTCAGTCTGATCACTGTCCGTCCTCTAGGCCTGGTCCTCTCCCGAGATTAGGGGATGCAGCTACCCCTAAAGTGTTCGATGTCTTCCACACGGTTGGAGGATCGAGACACGGCGTTGACGCGAGTGTGTTCGAGTTGACGGGATTCGGTGTGAACACGTCGAAGAACGGTCGGAAAATTGGAGAAGATTGTGGAGCGAGGAGCGAAACCGATCCTCGACGTAACGTTCACCGCGCGGCCGTTGGCGCAACACTGAACAACTGCGTATCGGTCATAACTAACGGCGCCTCGGAGCGCGCGATGACTCGCGCAGTCGCGTGATCGCCTACACGACAGATCGGCTGCCTGTTTACCGCCGGAATTAGACAAAAGAGGCGGGATCCCTCGTTTAAAGGCGTGATTAGGTTAACAGAGGTTCAATTTCACGGGACCCCTGGCCGGCTTCTTCCATCCTCGCGCTGACCGCCACCCCGGTGTCGCCTACTAATTTCATCCTAGATGCGGCCGGTGATCGAGCGGCGAATAAAAATGATTGATCGGGACAGGGAAAGCCCGAGGATGGTTTCTTTTGTTTGCTTTTCTGCTGTCCGTCGGAGTGTCCACTGCGCGAATTCGTGGCGGGTTGTACGCTCGTTTTTGATCGATCGCTTGGAACTGTCTTTCGATTGAATACCGATGCACCCGTTGGATTATGCAGCTGAATTTCTGCGCGACTGCTGGACCTCGCGTATGACTGTTTCGCATTGAATCGTGATTTTATCAATGCTGGCTTTTATGAATGACAATCGTTGGCGAATTATACGTCGCGAGTGTCAGATTGAAGGGCGCGTTTCGTTGATTGTTGGACGTTAGTTTCGATGGTAATTATTTTATTTAGCGTCACTTGGCAAAGATATCGTTTGAGAAAGGTAGATCGTTAAAATTCTCATATAAATATTGATTTCAACTATTCGGAGAATATTTCAGTCTTCCCCTGACGCAGCATAGTTTCTAGTAACAAAGGCGTTATAATCGAAGGCTTTTCGTTGATTCTATTATCTGCAGGCAAAAGTATTTTGCTGGAACAGTTACTTTCTTTCATCATCCTCCATTGTTTATCGAAGGAGGGGAGATCTTTTGTTTCGAAATTCAGTCGGAACCAATGAAAGATTAAAACGGTTAGCCTCTTTGTCTTCTTCCTCCTTTCACGAGAACACAAAGCTCGGCGCATCGCCGATTAGAAAAGTCAACGAGCTGCTGAAACTCAATGAAACCAACAAGACGCCAGCACGTCCGACGAAACATCATCTCGCAAAGTACTCAACTTCTACTCCGTTCCCATCAGGAAAACTGCTAACCCGAAAAACCCAAACAAACAACATTCCAAAACAACGCGACACGTCCATCGCTGAATACTAACCTCCTATCGAACCAGTTTATCCTCGAAAAACGAAACAAAGAATTCTCCAACAGACCAATCTCTCAAACTCCATTCATTAACCGCACAATGAGATTCCGCGAAAACATCCGCGACGCTGAACGCATTCCATTATGAAAAACCGACCGCGGAGAACATTCCCGGTGATTCACAGGTTTTCCTGCAGCCGCGTCGCCTACGTAAGAGCGCGGCTCGCCGTGAAAATAGGATAATTAGTCTATTTAAAAATACCGTGCAATCACTCCTCTCCCCGGCGCGAGCCGCGCGCGGCCGCGAATCGGCGTGAGTTGTTACGTGAAATATCTTTCCGTATCTGTCACGACAAAGGAGACAATTAACCGCCCCATTCCTAGCCGGCCGATCCTACTGAATCGCAGAGCGGAATAACAACAATGCCGTCACGAATTGTTCGCGACGCGATACGGTATTAATACGCCCGATGCGTGATAGCATTTAGCCGAACACCACCTCCGCGCATTATCTCTCGCGGTATTAACCTTGAGGAGAACGGGGACCGACTCCACCCCGTGCGTGCACGCGCCACATACCGAATGAAAACGACATTTTCCCTTCCCCTTCCCCACCCCGTTGATCCACCTCCGTCGCTCTTCTAGCGAGGCGGCGCGTATATTGTCTGATTAACATTCGATTCGCCTCTCCGAGCGGCACGAAAACCCCAACGACGAAAACAAGATACGTCCGCGAGAGGCAGGGACATTCATCAACGGCGCCAGTCGCTGGAAAACAACGCGGGTGGCGGCGGTCCGCTCGGCGTAGAATGGAAATTGGAAGACGCCGGTTCCCAGGGGTCATGTGATCCTTTATCGTGGCTCATTTGCCGTTGGCAAACCGCTGCTGGTGCAGTGATAACCGGCGGCGAGCCTAAAAATTGCGTCGCAATTCCGATGAGCACGGATAGCATCGCCGTGCGTGCAAGCTAGTGTCCGCGGACTCTGTCGCAGATAAGTCTGCAACGGTCCCCGATTGAACACGCTTATCGCCGGGCCTATCTTTGACAGGTTAATATGCCTAAAACTCGTTATCGCCGCTTCGGGATTAACATTCCCTCTTGTGGAACGTTCGGTTCGATAGCGGAGACTGACTGGATGTTCGGATGTTTTAGGGAGAGAGGTTCGTTAGAACTTAGAGTTCGTAGGTTTAACCCTTTGAGCTCCTATGTGAGCGTGAGTTCGGGGCATAGTTTTATTCGCAGGTGTGCTTGTTTTTTTAACGTTATAAGAAGAATTGTTTACACTACTCTCTATCTATTTTGAAAATGAATTCCAAATGAAAGGTAATAATCTAGGGTTGACCAGGGTAAAATTCGAAAGAAATTCAGAAAGTATAGAAATTCGTAACTAGTCAAACGACTGGCTACAAATAGAGATAAATTGGATTATACATTTTTCTTAGTGGAAACAGAAACAGCAGCAAAACACATGAAATGGAAGAAATCAGATATTGAGTTATTTGATTGTTATTGCACGTTCGTCTAGCTGAATGTCACCGCATTAGGTAGCAATACTTAGAATATAGAAATGTTTTCGAATGATCATCGTTCAACTGAGTGAACTATAGTAATTGGCTTTAGTTGGGGGTCACCGGTGAGCCCCGCGGCATTCGACGTGTTAATCTTCAAGTCTATTAGCTGAATGTCGTCGCTAATCCTCCATAGAGACAGTAAAGATAGGAATAAAACGCCGGTGGGTCAAGGAATCGCGACGTTGCGAAGGGAATAATGTGTCTCTGAGAAAATGTTCGATTTTCCATTCGAAGAAATTGCTGGTGGGAATGTAGAAATGAGTAACTAGGCGCTCGGCTGCCCACGCAAGGGTTAAAGTGACAGAATAACAAATTAACTTTCAAATCTTACCGTTTATTGATCGCATTTATACGTGTGCTGTTTACAAGTGGCCTCGCAAAGACACCTACGTGCTGTTACAGATATCTGCGCATGGACACGGCGTGTTGCCTCTCGTAAGGCTGTCGAGGAGGAATCGATCAGACGGACGTGCCACGGACAATTGCGCAATTTCGGAAAAAAGCGTTAATCATCGTAGCAGACGGTGCTCAGTAGAAATTGGAAAAGTATCATAATGTATATTATAATCCCACCTAGAAACTAGAAACACATAAATTGTAGTTGTAGCTTCAGTTTCGAGGAGAACGCTGGAAATGTTGAACCCTTTGTCTAAAGTGTTCCGCTAGAAATACTCAACGTCTTCCAATGAGACATAAGCGACACCCTTCGAAACTAACTAGTGTGAAAACGCACATAGATTCAGAAACAAAGCATAATACACTATATAAGCCTATAATTTTGTTATATTAACCCTTTGCACCGGAAACTTTTCACTAGATACATCCGACACTTTCCTATGAGACGCAGATGACATTATTTGAAACGAACTAATGAGAAAACATACGTGAATTAAGAAACAAAGCTATTTTATAGAAATATTTCGCATATTGATGCATTTACGAAACTTAATATGATATATAACACTTTGTAATTTTGTTATATCGAATCAAATGGTGACTGAGTCACCTCTCGAGTGCAAAGAGTTAAATCTACTAGTGACTGAGAATCATCTGTCGAGCGCAAAGGGTTAACAGCTAACCAAACAACAATGAATACAAATTCACAGTGAATTCTTCGAAAAATTAAGGGAACGCGACACATGTAAGTAGACGTACCTCTGACAGAAACTTCGCGTTTATCGTGTACGCACTCGTGGTGAACGCAACATCTCGATGCGCCACTTGCAAAGCAAAATAGCCCAGCTAGAACGACGTAGCATGTTGATTCCTCGACGAATACTTTCAATAAATCGGTCCAATCATTGTTATTAATTACCTCGCGTCTGACTGCGCTATCGGTGCAATCGGTGAGAACGTCGTGAATCGTGGTGCCGATTTCCCGCGCCCGATTCGTCGCGGTCTGGCAAGTCCAGATTACCAATATGAACTTCAACATCTGATGAACAGCGTACACAAAATCCTTGACGTGTTGAATCCCCATGCCTCTTTCATATTTCGAGAAATCTTGGCTGACGAACCATTCAAGGGAGAAGTACATCTTCAACGTGATCGTGATGAACGCGGAAGCCGTCATAACAACGATCATACTGGTGTACGTTTTGTTCAGATACTCAACGACGTCGCTGATTTCGTGGTGCAGCTGCTCGTAATACTTCACCTCCATCAATTTCAGCGTCCCTTGGCCGCGCAGCTGCGACTTCAACTCCGATTGCTTCGGAGGTCTGTTCAAATGCTTCAGATTCTCGTTGATCCTCTTGTAGCAGGCGCCCAATACGTGCACGCAATTCACGTAAGACATCTCTATTGTTTGTGTTATCGTCATCACGAATAACTGGGTAAGATATTCCGGATGATTGTAAGCTACCCCCCAGTGAGACATTACTAGATGCAGAAGAATGACCGCAGGAAAAACGATGTCTTTGATGTGAACGAATTTTGCCATATCGTCGAAATCCTGCTCGGACAATATATAAGAAGCTTTGGATACCTTACGAAGGACAAGGAATCTATAGTACGATCCAACGTACATTGTCAGAATCGTGCATCCGTCCAGGACAAGCAGGAAGTTGAAATAAATCGTCTGCTTCATGGAGAGATACATCTGTCCGGAAGTGTTCGTCAAATAGCTGATGTAAATCATCAAAGACATCACGATGAGGAACACCGTCGTCGAATAAGCGAACAGTTTCTTCGAGAACACCCATTCTCCAGATTTATACTTGATCGGGAAATATCCTAAGATCAGCGAGAGCAAGATGTTAGGGTACATCAGCGACTTGAGGTCCGTGGCGTGGCACGGCCGCCATTGTTCGCGCTCCTTGGGGTTCTCGATTTTCACCGGGCTTCTAATCATCGTTGACGAACTTATCATTTGAGAGTAATTTAAATTCTACGCTCTGTGCGTGACGACCGGTTCGAGTGGACGTGAGTCGAGAACTAAATTACCACCGTGCATTTTCTTCAGTCGTCTTTTTTAAAATGGGAGTTTAAAGATTACAGCTCGTAATGGAATTGAATAAATGAAGTGACAGTCATTTTGGAATGAACGCAGTTGATATCGACAAACTTTTAACGAAATTGATAGTGATCTATACGTCTTGCGTGTTTGATCGTTGTGAATGTTTAAAGTGACAGAATAATGAATCTCTTTTTTGAAACGTTGACGTTCATTTATTATCTTAAGCTACGTACAGTTCATTAGCAAGCTTGCGAGTACTGCATTTACTATTACAAGCATCGGCGCGTGGACGTAAGGCTGGTAAGGATCGATAAGATGTCACGTGAATTGGCAAACGGCGTTAATAACGGCAAGAGATGCTGTTCAATAGAAATTGGAAAAGTATCAGAATGTACATCATAATCCCAGATATCATCTAGAAACACACTGATGCGATTATGGTGAACACTGTCATTCCTCGCGACAATGAGCTCGTCTTACCTGCGTTAGAAGCTTCGCGTTTATCGTGATCGCTCTCGCGGAGAAATGTATTTCTCGGTGCAACATTTGTAGAGAAAAATTCCTCAGCTGAAACATTACAATGATTTACTTTCAAGCATACCGTTTACAACGGATAAATTACCTCGCGCTTGATCATATCGTTGCTGTCGTTGAGAATAACGTGAACCGTGGTACCGATCTCCCGCGCCCGATTCGTCGCGCTTTGGCAGGCCCAAATGATCAGCGAGAATTTCGAAAAATAATATATCGTGACCAGCCAATGCGGCATAAACCAAAACATTCTGTTCGGAATGGCCGGAAAACCACTGACTATCCACAGCAAGGAGTAATACGTGTTAAACGTGACCACAGTGAACGTTGTAATCGATATGATGATGATTCGAACGAGAAAGGTGTCGTTTACCGACTCGACTGCGTCGCTGATTTCTTGGTGCAGCTCTTCGTAGTATTTCAGCTTCATCAGCATCAACAGACTTTGTCTACGTAGCAGAGGTGTCCTCACCAGCGACGATTCCGGTTCACGGTCTGTCGTGGGTTCGTTCAACCGTTTCAAGTTTTCGTTGACCTTCTCGAAACAGGAGCCCAACACGCTCACGCAGTTCATGTAGCACATGTCCATCGCGAAGTGGCTTATTGTAGTGTACAACGAGATCAAACGGCTGGCGGTAATCAAATCAACACCTGCGATGCTTTTCGGTAGACATCCGAGGAAATAAAGGATAACCATGGCGTCTTTCGTGTGAACGAACTTCGACATTCTGTTGAAATCCTGGACGGACAGTATCTGCGAGAGTTTGAACAACTTCTGATACAGGATCAATCCTTTGTACGCCGTGAAGTATATCGAGATGATCGCGAATCCGTCTAATATGAAGAACGAATTAGTGTCTAGCGCTTCGGGTACGCTGAGATCGTTTGTGTCACAGAAGTTTATTAGGTACAGCGCCAAGACCAATGAAAATAGGTAGACGAGAGTTGTGATCGACGAGTAAATGAACCGTGCTATCGAAAGCGCGACGCATCCGCCGGGCTTGAATTCGTAAGGAAGAAATCCGAGAATCTGAGCGAAGACGACGTTGACGTACATCAATGATCTGAGGTCCGTTGCGCGCCATAATCGCCATGGTTTGTTGTTCCTTGCGTTTTCGATTCTCATCGAATAAATCGTCCGATAATTCGCAATTTGATGGCGAAACAATTTGTTGTCGCCGCGCGATATTGTAGACTGACCCAGTTCAAAAGAACGAATCCCCACTGACTTAAACTAGACTCATTACCTAAGCAGGCAGCCATCTTCTTCGAATTCAGCGCCATTACGTGACGCGGTCTTGAATAAGTAATATGATGTTCATCTTCGAACTGACAACACGATGTTATCGAGGGGCTTTTATCATGATTAAACCTTTCGAGCGACGTATGGATGATTTTGCAATTTATTACGAAACAGTACATATTCCTCGTTAAAGGCTTACTTCAGCAGGGTTTCACAAGCAGGAATTGTATTAGTATCAGTAAATACGTCGTGATGACACCGACTACCTGTAAACGAACGAAGATAAGGACACTTTCCGGAGTATTCCGGATTACTTACCTTTGTCAGGAGGGTCACGTCCAACACCAATCCCTTCGCTAGTATCGTGTGATTTTGCTGAATGACTTGCATAGAGAACAACTCCAACTGCACGCCGAAAAATCAAGCAGAACGTATTCATTACGAATTACGCTTCGTTGAGTGTCCTTATTAACCCATTGCCGCAAACGACAGCTATGGACTGTACTGATGCATTTATTCGTTTATTCTTCAGTAATACATTGAACAAAAATGATTTAACATTTTAGATTATTAACATTTTGCCGTGTGCGGCAATGAGTTAATACGTCACGTGGGTCAGTATGTAACTGAGACAGATTATTTAAATACTTTTTAGCCTTTGAATCATAAATGTCTCAGCGTGGTTAACCTCTTGTGCTGGAAGGTCTAGTTGCATTCGGCATACTTGTTTCGAAATGTATCACTCTATACAAAATGATCAATGAATAGAATTACTGAACATATCGTAAAATAGGTGAACGCAAGATTTCGTCAAATCTCTAAGTTACGTTCCAGCGCAAGAGGTTCAGTGAGTCGTCGAAATGGCGACGAATTAGTCCAAAATGGCGTGGTCAGCGCTTACCTCCGTGGATACTTGTTCGTCGAAAGTAATCAAGAGGATTCGATGAATATTGAAGCCAACGCGTTTCCCTTGGTCTTTTATCATCTCGCACGAGATTGTCAGCACGATCAGGTTGAAACTGTGGTAAAATAGGTACTCGATGTTCTCCGACCACACTGTTACGATCTTACCTTCGTCGGTGTTGTGCACCAAATAAGTGTATAATTTAAAGGTCATATCTATCACCGTTATTGTAATAATAACAACGTTATCCGAGCCGAACACTTCGTTCAACGTTCCGATCGCTGTGCCAAGCTTCAGATGGTGTTTCCTAATGGTTTTCAATTTCGTGAGCAACGCGGGATTCTTTTGCGTGTGATAAATTCTTCTGAGCAAGTGAGGCTCGTCGTTGGTTAGAGTCTGCTTCAAATCCGTCAGAGTCGCGTTCACCTTAACCAAGCATAATCTCAGTACGAACAGACAGATGTTGAACGTTATGTTCCCCAACAGACCTACGAAGAACATGTAGAAACCGACCAAGTCGAGGTAACATGGCAAAGTGTATGGATCAGAATTTAATAGGAACGATATATATATGATCGTCCTCAGGACATCAAATAACAATATCCATTTGGCGTTGTTAAACGCTTCGGGGGATAATACGCGGGACGTGTCCGACAATATCCGAAGCAGATGCAACTTCGATGGCAATGACACGTAACTACTCCAGATGAGAACAATGCCGAAAGTGTACATGAATGTCAGGTACATCTGGTTGGAAGTTTCATCGTTCCGGTTCACATAATATATCCAATACAAGCTGAACGACGACAGGAGCGTACAGGCGATCACCATTACCGTAGACCAAACGAAACGTATTTTGGAGAACGTGAACGTAGCCGAGGCGACCTTGTAAGGAAAGTATCCGGTGATTAAAGTGAGGAGAACGTACGGTCGAATCAACGTATGGAAGTCCGTAATGTGAAATAGTCCCCATATTCTGTGGAACATACTGTTCGCGGATCTTCCAGGTAGATCGAACGTGTGAAAATCGATCTATTTCTGTGAGAAAGTTGTTCGACTCGTCGCTTCGCCCGGGCGTGACTTATTTTAATAAAGGTAACTGAAACGTCACGTTTCGCACCGTTCCCAACCATAGGATGTCGAAGACTGCGCAAACGTTCGATACTGGAATTAAGCGTAGAAGGAGAATAATATTGGTAATGTACGATCATTACAGGGAATAATAACTTTTAATCCTTTTACACGGGTCTATGTAGTTCGAGCGTTGTGCATTTAATGATGGAGAAACAATTATCGTAATTTGATCGTGGAACATCTTCCATATCTGCAATGGCGGCTACATTACCTTGATTAGAATCAATCGATAACGCTTGAAGTACGTAAATTGTTTTGCCAGTTTTTGCTACAATTGTCTCGTTCTTTATGACCACGTTTGTCATCGACTGGGGTTCGAAACAATTTGCACTTGAAAAGCTAGGATTGCATTTGTATGGTTTAGATCAACGTGAAATAAGAGGGAATTATTATCGGGATCCTTGTATCGTTCGGTATTTTCACAGCTTGTTGCGTAATTTGTTTGTTTCCGGTAAATAAATTAAGAATAAACTGGGCTGCAATAATATTTATTACTTGTGAAAATCTGTGCGATGTTATGAATAAGTTTCGTATCTGAACAGAGCGCTATCATTATTTTCTAAATTAGAATCATTGCATCTGACGTCAATGTGCACCATGCGCAACTTACTTTATCAACTTCCTGTTGCTTGCTGTTATTTGATATAGCGTTTTTTCTTCGTGATATCAGGCTCGCCGTTCAGATATTTGATTTTTCATTGGAATCGCGTATTTCGAAGCATGCAATACTAGTGGCTGTAACGTGATAACAAACTAATGATCTTGGTTAATTAGAAGACACATTTAAAGAAAGTATTTATTTATAATAGATTGGGTACTTGTAACTTAATATAAGCGAATGATCAATTAAATAAGACGCATTCAAAAAAAGAAATTAATTTATTCTGAAATCATTACATAACATTGGGTATTAGGTGAAACTACGAAAATATAATGAGTATTGCAATTTCAGAAGAAAGAATAATTTCTTAAAAATAATTAAATCTATAATATACTTAATTATTTGGGAATAATTTCACTTTTTTTCTAATTACATGGAACAGGTGAAAGATACGTTTAAAATGGAGGTACCAAATACATCTTCTGAAAACAGTTGTTGCGTACATCAGTTTTTGTAGGACCTATATGTTGTGTTACTTGTAGGTTATGTTCCACTGTATCCTCACGCAATCTGAAGAACAAATGAGTGATAACCGAAACTTGAATTAGTGCTCGTTATATGTAGCGATTAAAATGTATTTGCAAACAACTATATCTTACAATGATTAGTTTATAAGTACTACCATTTTTCAACATGAGTGATAGCTGTGTGGATAAGGGAATAATTAGTTATATTTATTTGGAAAATTTTGTGTGAGTATAACATTCAAATACACATTAACATCAATAAAATACGATTGTAATTGATAATTAGTATTCAATGGTACTTTCGTAAGTTTACTTTTTTTTTTAAATTAACTTATAAAGACTACATTATAAAAAAACATTCATGTCCTTTATTAAGTACTTTTTTAAATTAAAACTCAAGTGAAAACTTCATTAAACTGTACTAAATGATATTTTATAATCTATTAATATATTCATTGCAGAACTTATTACAAAGTTGCTATAAAACCGGGCAGGAATTTAAATGTAATTATTGGACCTAATGGCACTGGAAAATCAACAATTGTGTGTGCCATTGTTCTTGGATTGGCTGGCAAACCAAGTACAATTGGACGTGCAGTTCATATTGCGGATTACGTGAAAACTGGTTGTGAAGAGGCTAAAATTGAAATCCATCTCAAAAATGGAAGTGACAGAGATATTATTATTACTAGGATATTCAATATACATGGAAAATCTTCTTGGTTTCTAAATAGAAAACATTCAAATATTAAAGAAATACAAGAATTAACAAAGAGCTTCGATATTCAGGTATAGATTCAAGTACAATAACCATTTATCTAATTTGAAATTATTTATATTTTATCTGGTTTCTTAAGGTGGATAATCTTTGCCAATTTCTTCCTCAAGACAAAGTACAAGACTTTTCAAAGATGAATGCACAAGAATTATTGGAAAATACAGAAAGATCAGTTGGTGATCCTATAATTCTTGAACGCCACAAAAAATTGATACAATATAGAATAGATCACAAAAATTTTGAATCAGAGATAGCTAGTAAAAAAAAATTACTAGAGTCAAAGACACAGATACACGATGGCTTAAAGGAAGCTGTTCGTGGCATAAAAGAAAGAAAATTAATCAAGAAAAAGATTGTGTCTCTAAAACAAAAGAAAGCTTGGTTACTGTACGAACAAAGACGCAGAGAACTATTTAAGGTAAGAACACCTGGAGATAAAGCTATGCAAGATAAAACGTTGTAACAGCTTTTCCATTATAAAAGTTATTTCAGACCCATATACTTGAAAAAGCCTTATACATTATTCTTCACTATATAACCCTTCGTGTAATTATGGATGTTGTTTAGATGACACAGAAAAAAGAAGAGGCAGCAGCAAAAGTAACAACTTTGGCAGCAGAAATGAAACCAACAAACGAAATAATATCAAAACTAAGTTCAGAAATTAAAATACTTCAAAAATCCGTGACAGAACATGTAAGTTTTTGCATTTCAGGATACAAAATAACAATAATTATTTTAAATATTATTTAATTGTAGGGTAATAAAGTCAGTATTAAATCGACAAAGTTGAAAAGAATGATGGATGATATCTTAGAATGCGAAAATGCTATCAACGCATCTGAAGCTAAGTGTAAGCAGAGAATCCAAGCAGAGGAAGCTCGAGATCACGATATTGAAGTTGCACAGCAGCAAAAAGATAAACTGAGTAGTGATCTAACATTGATATTGAACGATATTGGGTCTGGTTAGTATTGTATTTATTTTCGTCAACTTGAAACTTTAGAAAATTAGCAGAGAATTATTTTATGCTTTCCAGAGGATACTGTGAAAAGACAACGAGAGGAAACGTTATCCAACATAGAAAAATTACGGAGTATTACTAGTAATCTAGTAAGTAAAAGTTCGTCGCTGAAACAACAACAGGAGCATATAAATCTTGGAATTAGAGGTAAATTTTTCCGTTTCTGTAAGGAATATAATTCACTATACATATATTCTATATAATACAAAAATTTGCAGCTCAAGAAACAGAACTGCAACTGCTTAACATTGAAACGAAACGACTGCAACTTTTAAGAGCGAGAAGCAGTGATACGTACAGAGCAGTACAATGGTTAAGGGAGAATCGCAACAAATTCTCTGGAGTAGTGCACGAACCAATAATGCTTATAATGAATGTCAAAGATGCTTTTTATGCGAAATATTTAGAAACCATGATACCGTTTCGCGATCTAATTGCATTCGTTTGCGAAAATAAACGAGACATGAATTTACTAATACACCATTTACGAGAAGAGGAGAAACTGGCAGTGAACGCTGCACATTCTGATCCTGATAGACGTGTCTCTATGGAGCCAGATATTCCTTTAGCAAACATCACTCAGTTTGGTTTTACTCATTATTTGGTATCATTGATTGAAGCACCAACGGCTGTCATGAAATATTTAGTCTCTATGTATAAGTTAAATAATATACCCGTCGGAAGTAACGTTGTTGATGATAACGTTGATCGTATACCACATAACATACGTTACTATTTTAGCCGTAAGTGAGAAAATACACATTCCTACATTACTTTATGAAGAAATTAGAATTAATTTATACTTAGCATCTTTATGCATCTTTTAGGATCAAATGTGTACGCAGTTAGTAGGTCCAAGTACACAGGCCATAAAAGTATTAGCATGCAATCGGTGCCAAGCACAGGACTGTTGTCTATCGTGTTAGATAAAACAAAATTATTGAAGATTGAGGAAAAGTTCGTTGACATTTCTACGTGACAATGAATACCTGTCATAATCACATGCAACTCATATATATATTTCTTTTTTCAGATTGAAATCATTAAAAGAAGCGAAAAGCGTTGTTTTTGATCAAATAAATCAAATCCAAGAGCAGATATGCGAACACAACAAGGAATTAGATAAATACAGATCCATTAGGAACAAACATCAACAAGATTTCCAGCAAATACAAGGTTTAAAGTCTAAGATATCTATAATAGAAAGAAAAATTAGGGATCTAGAAAATGAACGATGCAGTATTGAGAAAATCAAGGAGTCTTCTATAAAGGAGATAAAGGTTTTACTTTATTCCAAAGAATTTTAAATATACTGATCAATTAATTCACCCTGTGTATTAATTTTTATTTAAGTATAATAATAATTCGTAAATTCTTCAGGTGATATTAAACAAACAAGTGAAGATATATAAAACGTATAATGCTGAACTAGAGGAATGTTATAAATCCATTACAAAAAGCGAAGAAATTGAATTAGTGTTAAAGCTACAAAACCGTGCCTTAAATTCGAAAATAAACGAATCCCAGGATCAGAGAGAAAAACTTAAAGCAGCAGAAGAGAAAGTGAAACAACTCAGTGTATCAATGCAACCCATGAAAAACGAAGTGACAAGAGTATACAAGGAGGCATTAGAAACTACCAATGGCATTAGCCCGACCGATGAGGCGTTTGCACCAATAAACAAAGCTTTTAGTAAATTACCACCGACCATGGAAGAAATTGTCAATGAGCTGAACATTGCACAAGCAAAAGTCTTTTGTATGAGTAACAACATGGACAGTGAAAATGTTATTATCATAATTATTCACCAAAATCATGAATGTAATAACGAATTAATCTTATATATTTACATGTATATATTCTGCTGTAGGTATTACGTGAATACGAAACTGTAGAAAAGGAAATCAATTATTTAAAAGAATTCGTTCAGAAGAAGTTACACGAGATGGAGAACACGGCGAAGTATATAGAAAGATTACGAGACGAATGGTTGAACCCTTTATCTGAAATTGTACAAAAAATACACGCGAACTTTAGCACGTACTTCTCGGCGATGGGTTGCGCCGGCGAAGTTACACTGGCAATCCCAGAGAATAACGTAAGTCGTTACAAAATGAAACCGGGTTATATATAATTTAATGAAGAATTTATAAGATTAATGTTGCACTTGTAGATGAACTTCAGCGAATACGGATTAAAAATCAAAGTGAAATTCAGAGACGCCGATGAGTTGCAAGAATTGACAAGACACCACCAAAGTGGAGGTGAAAGAGCAGTAACCACTGCCATTTATATGATTTCACTTCAAGAACTTACAAGAGTACCTTTTCGATGTGTAGATGAAATTAATCAAGGTATGGACCCCATGAACGAACGACGAGTATTTAATTTACTCGTGAAGATGACTGGGAGGCCAAACAGTTCTCAGTATTTCTTACTTACGCCAAAAGTTAGTATAAATTCAATACATTGTGTCCACATTGATAAGACAATAGAAAATTATGTAGCAGAGAATATTGTTCATTTAATATATTCTGTTTTATTTAGCTGCTACCTGATTTAGAGTATTCAGAGACTGTGACAGTACATTGTGTATTTAATGGACCATTCATGATTAATCATGTGGATTTTGATACAGAGGAATACTGCAAACATATTGTCAGAGTAATGGAAAAAGAAACCACAGATGATGATTAATCGATAAAGCTGTTTCCCATGTTCATAAGATTTTGTGCACTATACAATCTCTTATGACTAATTTAATGAATATAACAAAGATATACTACATTGTAAGACATAGTTGATATATTTTTGTAGAATGTTTCAGGATTAATTAATTCTATAAAAATATACATATTTTGCTACTACCTTCTCTTTCACTTTCTTCCTTTCTTCTTCTTCTTTTTCTGTGCCTCCGGCCAAGGAAATCCTCTACACTTCAAAACATCCATTATATTATGGCAGGTGTAATATGCGTTTTCCATAGCTTCTTCATTGAAAATATCCATACTGAATTTCGCTCTCCCGCCGCTCTTTTTCGACTTCCTTGTCCCCTTACTTTTACCGCCGTTACTATTTTTACCATTTTTCCCGTTCTTCCCATTTTTACCGTTCTTCGTACTCTTTCTTTTATTCTTCCCCCGCATCGCGTTTCGTTCAAACGTACAAATCAATTACCTCACGCTTATGATGCTTACGACTGATTTATATAGAACGAGAAGAACGAAAAAGTTCCTGCATCGCCGGACTAATATTCAAATGGTTGCTATATCGCCGGTTATATCGATAACGGTTGCCACGATTGTAAGTTACATCGATAATTTCAAATGATTTTTCGCAATGGAAACAGGAACTTAAGAAACGAGCAATTATGATGTTAACGTACACGCAAGTGTATATTGTGGCACGGTATACTTTCAATGAAATTCAATTAAAGTTCAAAGTCCCAGTTTCACTGTTAATCCTTCCATTATTAGGGCGTAATAGAATTACGTTGAACGAGGAAACGGTCGTTGGCGATCGAGACAATCAAGCGTTATCGATTTCACCGGAAGCGTTGCGTTACAAAAGAAAATACAAATATGTAATTATTCGCCTTCGATTAAAAACGTCACAAATGCTCCGTAACGACACAAAATATGCAAAGAAAATGAATCGTACTCACGTATCATGACTTCTAGAAAATCATATTAACTAACAATTCCCGAACATTCCCTCTTCGAGTCAAATTATCAAAAAATCAACTTCAAAATCAAATTATCCATCTACCCTAAAAAATAATAATTTCTAGAATACTTCACGCACACATCAATTAATTCCAACGACGCCTATTAATAACACCAACAAAACAGGCGCAATTAAAATATTCATGTATTCGTTCATCTCTCATAGTACTCGCAGCCTTAACTTCACTGCTACAAGATACGAATCTCAATTCACTCGACCATGACATTATTGTACCGCAAATTCAATATTTCTGCACACAACATATAACACTCCTGTTCTCATTCAGTCGGTACCGTCAGCTAAATGTCTTCCCC